TTTTCATTCTGATCATTTATGTATACATTTGTCTATATCTATCTCGATTCGTTTTGCCTGTTACAAACAACCGTTATGTGAACAAAGTTATAATACCCTTGTGCACAAGTGCGCTCGGGTATAAAAAGTGTCCGGACACGAACGGTGAATCCGCCTTAACTCAGAATACCAAATTGCGATTTTTGCGGAGTGAAATGCGGGAACGTAATCGAAATGCATAATAGGGCTGATTATTTCATTTTCATGTTTTTATTATTTCATATAATTATTTCACGTTAATCTAATTTTTTAGACTTAAGTTTTGATTAAAAATAACAACACCAACTATAATTACATTAAACAAATAAATGTAATGATTGAGGGAGCAAACAAAATGTAAACAAATGTTTGCTGGCTGTTGGATTCGATTCCACGACCTCACAGCTCGCTTAATCCGCATTATTGCCGTGTTGGGTACAATTTTGATCAGGTCCGTTAATCCGGATCAACTTTGCCATCTGTCAATGCTTTAGGCTAATTTACCATTTGCTTTCCCTTAAACAATAATTGTTGCGTATATTTTGTAAAGAGCGTGACAAAAAAATACGCGCAGATTCAATGCAAGAATGATAGAATACAAGATTGCGCCGATCAGAGAGGATTTTTGAGAATAACTTTTGTGTGACGTCACACTGGTGCAATTGCGAGAGAGAAATGCCAAAACGTGAGCAAGAATGGAAGATGAAGAAAAAATGTTGCAAGGAAAACGTAAACAAGTTGCACCAGTGTGACGTCATGCAAACAACGATTCTGTCAAATTCGTTAAGAGAGGAATAGCGGTCCGAGATCGGCGCAACCTTTGTATTCTCTCAATCGTGGATTCAATGAATAATAAAAAAAATGCGGCCTGTTCGATGCACGTAATAAAAACAGCAAAATTTGCAAGACTCTTGCAACTTCCCAATCGACAAAACGTTGCTAGAAATTCACACCGAACGTGATACTTTGACAATTCGCGGAACACTACGGTTGATATTGCAACTCGAACAAGCCCATGATTCGAATACTCAAGGATTGCTTGCTTTTGTTGTTGTTGTAGCAGCATATAAGTTCTCCAAAGAGTTTTTGGGGAATGTTGCTGGAGTGACAGTGCTTGGCCAAATATAAATCAGGGTCGTTCCGTTTACGTAGACCCGACTGTCGTGGGAACGATTGCTTGCTTTCTTTGTAGGTGGTGACAAAATCAACAAATTGCGAATACAAGTGTAGTGAACACCAAAGAAAGTGTACACTTTCTTGAAATAGAAAGTTCAAATTCGAAAATAAATGGTTATAAATAAAATTGTTGTTAGAACCAGATTGGAATCAACGCGCCTATCCCGGAAGCCTGCCTGTGGCGGACAAAAATTCTATACTGTTGCGATATCTGCTCTGAGAGATTTCACTGTACATGTAACGATTTGCGGCAAAGAAATATGTAAACATCAAAAGCGAAAGCGAAAGTTGTTGGACATTCTTAATCCCAAGCTTGGTATTAAAAACACTCAAAATTTTAATCCTTCCTTATATAAAATCTTATTAAACTGATGTCAGACAAATATTTACTGGCCAGAATTAAATAAACGCAAAAAGCATGTTTTTTCTGCGGCAATGCTTGGTAACTAAATCAATTGAAGACAAACGAGTTATATATTTGCAAATACGTAAAATAAAAAAATGTTGGGAAAACTTTGTTAAGCTCAAATCAGCGAGTTTAACATAGCAAAATTTTTTAATAATATATGTAAGTAGTTAATATGTGTAAGCGAAAACAAGAAATATGAAATATAAATTTAACGGGTACAACTCGGTAATCTGTTTAGTATTTATTACGTACTTATATGTACTTGCATGTATATATACATACGATATATATTTTTTAGAAAATATGCGGTTAAAGTTTTTTCTTTACGGTAGGCTAACTGCTTTAGCATAATAACCATTCTAAATTCAGTGCTGTCGAAATAATTGCCACGTTCTATTATTATTTAAACCTTTTCCGTTTACTGGAATAATCGTTACAAATCTTATTAAAACTATGGTAAAACCATTTCCCACTACGTATACGCACCCAAGTAAATCGGATGAGATTTTTACTATAAGTCTAGGGAAAGCATACTTGTACATACATACATACATATGTACATACAAACAAATGAATAAAATATTATAAGCCTAATTAAAAAAAAAAGATTACAAACAAAAAATATATGCCTATGTATGCACCCAATTACTCGTATATAAATGCATATGTACATGCATAGAATCATTAACAGATCAACTTAATTTGTTTAAAATTAGAGAAAACGCATAGATGGAAAATTTTAGTACAATTATGGCGCCTATCAATTGAACAAACAACGCGAGTTTATTTTACATTAAACAATCGGATCTTACAATGCAATAACAACAAAAAAAAAGAAAAACCTTTGGACGATTTTACTTACTTCTTTAGTTTTATAAAACATACGATTTTCCGTAATTTTCCCGTAAGAAATAGGTGCACGTTATAATGCCTTACCAGCATCTTACACTTCACCCGGTGGCCGTTACTACTTCCCTGCCGAATTTCCCTTACTTTAACAAGGGCATATTCGCCTTATAGTCCGGTCAATTTAGACATTCGAGGTTACAAAAATTCCCATCCAGCTGAAAATTGGTAGGATTGTTCAAAACACCATCATAAATGAAATCTAAAAAGTCCTCATCGATCCGATACCTGGAAAAAAGCTACTCTGGGGTTAAAGGTCACAAAAACGGGGTTTTCGCGATTTTCAGCAAAACGGTAAGTTTATCATAAAATTAGTTTAGACAAAAATTGTATATCAGATAATTATCTATAACAAATGTCTAAATACTTTTTGTCCTAAGAGCCACCGTTTCCGAGATATAACGATTGAAAAGTTGAAAGTTCGGGTGTTCGTGGCGTGTGAGTACCACGCTTTACTGGTCGTATTTCATAAAAAAATCTTTGCGCATTTCCATTTGACCACTCATATTTCGTATTTATCCATCGATTTTCTTTATCACTTAATTTTTTTTTTGTAACAGAATGGTCTTTAGTACAAATGCCAAAATTTGGCACAGAACCCCGTTATTTTTTAAATTTTTCCTCTGTTAAAGTTTGATTTTTTTCATTTTTTCGTTAAAAAATAAAAAAAGCTGGAATGATTAATTAATTTGTCAGAAACTATAAGCCCTATCGGAAAGTGATGTATAAACGGTTTATGGAGAATTTCATTGGCTTTCATTTGCCTTATTTTGTATTAAGATTTTTAAATTGGTTCGTAAGATATACGTGATTAAAAGGAACACATTTTTGCTTTAAGCTGAATAACGGTAAAAATCGCGAAAACCCCGTTTTTGAGACATTTGACCCCGAGTAACTCTTTTTCTAGGTACCGGATCGATGAGGACTTTCTTGATTTCCTCTCTGATGGCGTTTTGAACAATCCTACCAATTTTCAGCTGGGTGGGAATTTTTGTAACTTCACTCCTATTTTTGGTCTAATTTGACCGGACTATTATGGAAGCAGATATTTGGAGTTTACATTTGGTATCAGACATAACTGAGCCGTAAGGCGTAATCAGAGGTGTTCATTTTGTGCTTTACTAAGAGATGACATTGGTCGTGATGAGAACCAAGAAATTGTCAAAATTAGAGAACGACCGAACATCATTTTGGGCTGCTGGACCAAACCGAACCGTACTGTGACACTTTCGGATGCAACGGAAATGTATATCTCTCCCTCTTATTTCCGCATACAACATTACTATTGAGAGAGAATTATCGAAATGTGTTGAGTAGCGTTTTAAGGTTAAGGTGGTATTAGGTTTGTACTCAGGGTTGCCGTTTTGGGCTTTTCCTAACAAAATTTGTAGATTGTTTTCTCGTTGGTAGGATTGTAGGACGCTTAAAATTTTTGTAGCTTTCTTTGCTCATAAAACAGAAAACATCTCTAGCTTGTTGTAATGTGCCACTTTGTCAGCACTGTGAGTAGGCTTGCCAAATTTTGAGAATATCAATTTTATCCTCATTCATTATAAAACCTCGTTGCTTACTGGTATAGACAGAATTTTACCAATTACCTTCGGCAATTCTCTGAACTAAAAAAAAGTTTTATTCAGTACGTATCTAATGGGTCGATAATCGATAGCAAGCGAACTTCAGTTGCGTTGATAGTTGCCAAAACGGTATTACAGATGGCAACTGACAACTGCAGTTGCTACAAAGTGTGTATACAGGCAACTACATTTTTATGGTTGCTGGGAAGGTTTTGGAAGCGTATTTAGGAGCGAAAATTGAAAAGTTTGTTATATATTTTACTTTTTAATAATTTGAACGATATTAACATTTTGCAATGCAGTTTGCTTTTACAGAATATGGTGAAAATAACAAAACAATAATTTGAAATTTTAGTTCCCGTGGAGTACGCCCTTTTTGGCGAAACAAAAGCGAACACTGTTTGCAAATGTTTTCCTTTATCAACTGAAGCACCTTTTTTAAAACTACCGACACACCAAGTTTTCCAAATTGTAGAATCGAAGAGGTTCGCAAGCTTTTTGTGAGCGGAGGTATTGAAGTTGAACAAAGTGGTTCATCTGTTTATTAACGAATTATACTACAGCTTCTTTTGGAAGTCCTCAATGTGCTTTGAAAATGAACACAAACGATAATAAAAGAAAAACCTTGAAAGCATTGACTTTTGCTTACAGTGCACGCGGTAGCTCCAAAGGATTGGAATTATCCTTTAAATATCGCCTGATTGAGGCCGCGTTCATGCACTTCTCTTCCTCTTAAAAAATAATTGTGATGAACTCAGCTTTATTGCTGTCTTTTTTTTTAAAGTCTTTTGTTTAATTTTACTCGCACAGCTTGTTTACAGCCACTTTCTGGTTGTCGAACTGTCAAATTTCGACTATCGATAACTCTACAGCAACTGACAACAGTTGCCATTCGTAATACAAATTTTCTTTCCAGTTGCGTTACCAGCTGGCAACCGAACCGTGGTTGCGGTGCTATCCGTAATCGACCCATAAATATCAAATAGTTGAATTGATGGATGTAAAGGCAGGTTTATAAAAGAGATATTTTTCTTTGAAATGCAGTTGCGAATCGATAATAGTTTCAACAGTGACAAGGTTGTTAAAATATTTTAAATTGCACTAGAAGAGCGATTAAAAAAAGAAAACTACTTATTGTTAGTCATATTTCCCGTAAATCGGAAAATCTCAAAGTTTTTAACCGCAGCTCGAAGGAATTAATGTTAAACCCGCAGAGCGCAGATTTTGTCCCAAGACCGGAGGCTCCTGGACCCGGACATTTTGCAAGCCCAACCGTGAGGCTTATTTTTTATATATCGTTACCTAAAGGTGAAAAGATGCCAAGTCCATTTTTTTTAATTGTTCAGGAGAGACGAAAAATCGATGTAGTTTCATTTATTATCATTATCGATGTGCATTATCTTTCATTCTGCAGCACAAACTATTTAAATTAAAAAAAGTGGTTGGTAGGTTTTTGAGGCAGCTCTTGGTAGGAAAACAAAAGTTTTTCAGTGGCAACCCTGTGTGTACTCGTATTGAGCGGACGCAATTATCCAGCAGCAAAAATTCTGAGAATTTAGCAGCATTCGCTCTCAAAGAGACAAAATATCCACAGAAGTATGTACGAGAACACAATATTTGCAAAAACTTGCAATTAACACTTTTGGTTAAAAAAAAAACCTTTTTAAAATACAAATTAATTATGTATATCGGAAGGAATAAGTTATTTTTTGACGCATTCAAAAATAAGAGAATCTCCTCCAAACACCCGTCATTGATAAAAAAAAAAACAATAATAGATATAGCTACAATTTTACCTTTAAAATTATAAAATTTTATTTTCAACAATTAACATACCAAAACTGACAACTTCAGCAAAAAACCTTTCAGTATGCTGCATACACCAAAGTAAACAAACTGGAGACTAATAGTAAATTAACTAAAAACAAACTCAACAAACGTTGCGCTTAATAAATTTACTTTAGTTTTCGTTGTATACTACCATTAATAATAAAATTTGCAATAAATAATTCAAAAAAGCCATATTTTCTTTTCTTTATTTGCAAACATATGTTTGTGATCAGCTGATTTTCTTACTTGCAAGTTTTTGCTAGTAAAAATTTTTCCAGCAGAAATTCGCAGCTCTCTATCACATTTTGCACTCTCAATTTTCCCTACTTTGCGGAACGAAAGATGCAGTTAAAATATGCATTAATAGTGTTAATAGGCTCTTAATGCCTTCTCTGCCTCTTAATTCGCTTCGCCAGATTCATTCGCTTCGCAAGTGTGGCGCAGGTGCACTCTTGTTCAATATTCGGTCGAAACTCTAACCTAGCGATATGTACGAGTAACATTTCCAGACATAGACAGGCCAATTTCTTGAGCTAACCCTTCAATACATAGATAGTATACTAATCCATTAAATAAAATTTCCAGGCTATTCGCTGGGTACTAACACATTCGACAACGATTTTAAATGCACTGAATAGGTGTCATCGTCCAACACTTAGTAATAAAGAACTCGCCTACCAAGGCCTTTTAGCATTCACTAAGAAAACCGAAGGTATCGGGAATGATGGGTTAGGGAATCTCATTAGCGACAAAAAAGATCTTTCCAGGTTCCAAGTACCTAACTAAAGAACTATCATTAGCTCATAAAAAATCAAAAGATATTTTGATTTGTTTGTGGAGATTTCACTAAAAATATTCTACCTTTTTCTTTGGCACTGTAACCGCCTAAGCGATTTTGGCCGAGTTCAATAAAGCACCCCAGTAGTTTCTCTTCTGTGTTCTACACTTGTCTTTCCATCGCAGTAGATCCTTGCTCTTCCTCTACTACCACCAGTGGGATCCGAGTTGAATACTTTCGCCAAGCTAGCGGAGCCGCTGTATTTTGTTTGGCTGCACTATTTCCATGTCGTTGTACAGCTCATTGTTCCATCGTCTGGGTACTCGCCGTCGACTACGCGTAAAGGTCCGTAAATCTTCCGCAAAATCTATCTCCCGACTACTCCAAGAGCCACCTCATTGGAAGTTTTCATTGTCCAAGCTTCTGCGCCTTATACCAGATCGAACATTATGAGTGACTTATAGAGTATAATTTTTAAACGTTGAGCAAGGACTTTACTTTTCAATTGCCTACTCAATCCAAAGTATCACTTGTTGGCAAGAGTGATTCTGCGTTGAACCTCGATGCTGTCATTATTATCGGTGTAAATGCTGGCTCCCAAGTAAAGGATATTCGCTACTTTCTCGAACTGCATACTGAAAACTATTCTAGAAAATCTGATTAAAATGTTTCAAATTGTATTGAACATTTATTCAAATTCGTCGAATTTTTATAAATGGTCTACAAATTTCGAAATTGTGATTTACATGTTTTTTTTTTTTAGATAGCAAAGGTGTTCTTACATGATATGTATGTGCATCTGTAAATGTGACTTTTTTCAATACATATGTAATTGCGTATGTCTCTCAAATTTACAGTCTTTATTTAACTATTTAAAAATACGTTCTCTGAAAACGAAATAAACTAAACTCAGAAACTTAAGAGAACAAAGACAAAACCAATTGCAAAATTTTTATTATTTTTATATGAAAATATAACTTAGGGTGTTCTTACACGATATGTATTTGCATGTGTATATGCCAATTTTTACATATGGAAATGCCAACATATCGTGTAAAGGCATATACACATGCAAATACATATCGCGTAAGAACACCCTAAGTTATATTTTCATATAAAAATAATAAAAATTTTGCAATTTGTTTTCTCTTTGTTTTGTTTTAAATAAAACTGTATTCAGCTGTATTTATTATAAAAAATAAATTGTAGGTTCGGTTTCGATGCTTTAGAAATGTCCCGATTTTTGGCCACAGAAATATGGTCACCGTACCTATAATACAACATCAAGATAGCAAAGATTTCACAACAAAAAAGGATTGGCGATCAGGCTTTTGTAATTTGTCTGCACTAAAGGTGTTTCTAAATTTATAGAAGTTTGTTGGTGTTCCTTGATTCTTCCAGAAGGGTGAGATGATGAATTTTTGAACGAGATTTCTTGTCAAATTTGAGACAACCCGGATTCGGCCCCCTTCAGTGAGATTTTATTTCGGGGAAAGTGAAGTCTAAAAGAAGGGATTGTGAATAAAAGTTATTTTTAGACTTTGAAATGAAAAACTTGTAGAGAAACCAGTTAAACATTAAAACACAACCGACTTCATGTCTCATATAACAATTTAGGAGTAACGTTAATTTCTTCTTTTTTCAATGATATGATCTAAACAAAATAAGAATGGAACCAACATTGGGGTAATACCTTTCCGATAAAAAAAGATTTATCAAAATCGGTGCACGTGGTCCATAGTTATGCGGTAACATATGTACATACAAAAAAAATATTCCTACGAATTGATAACCTCCTCCTTTTTTTGAAGTCGGCCAAAAATATTCCATTGGGGTAGTTTCTCATTGTACAGCACTTTTTCTATCAAACACCCCTTTCAATTTTGCTTTTATTTTTTCTGGAGATTTTTCGGGTTATTTGGCTTTTTTTATTTGGAACCGTTCGTTTTTGAAAGTTCTTTGCTTTTCTTGCTCTTGCTAAACTCCAGTTTAAATAATTACTTTATCAGTATTTAAAACAAATTTAAAATTGAAATAAGTTAATACCTAATTGTAAGTAATTGATTCGTACTATATTTGCAATACATTAAAAATAAAATAAAACTTAATAAAATAGCGCAAATTAAAACAAAAAGACTGCAGTGCAGAATTGAATAAAAAAATGAAAGAAAACTATAAAAAAAAGTAAGTAAAAATACATACATATACATAAATACGTGCATATTCTACTATTAATCACTGCTGAATGAGATCGCTTCTAAAGTTTGAATGCAGCCATTTACTAAAATTATATTATTTACCTGTGCTGTACTTAAATTTACCAGCCACCAGTTTTGTGTATTGAATAAATATACACATACTTGCATACAGAAATTGCAATGTACATACATGCATGCATACATTCATACATACTGATTATAAATTTATGTTCAATAACGAAAATATGTACTTAATTATAGAAAATTTGCGAGCAGAGATATTCGTGTGAATTAAATATTTAACAAGCTACATCCAAAAACGCATAAAATATATACATATGTATATGTAAAACATCCATACATATAAATAAATACAAACACATGTACATACATTTTTATTTATGTATGTGCATTTAATGTATGTAAAATAATTTATACAATACAATAAATAAATGAGAACTTGTATAAACATGTACGATTATGCTTACATTAAATTAGTTACACATGTAATGTTTTTCTTTAAAATTTTTATATACACACGTTTACATAAAAGTATGTACATACATATGCGTGAATAGGCGACACACGTTTAATTCAAATTCATAAACGAACTTGCATAGTTTCATACGTAGATATATAAACATATAAAAATACTTTCTTCCTACTAGGAAGATAGGTAAGCACCTTACGAGGTAATCCATGTTTTATTTCAGCTTTTAGTACCAAAATTGTCATCATGACTAATGTGACCAACCGTACTTCTTTCGGAAGTACAATACTTCTTTTTTCGCTCTTGTACTTCGTACTTCGAAGTACGGTCAAATGAACTTCTTTGCGATATTTTGTACTTCAGGAGGGAGATTCTGCAACCAGTTAGCGACAATTTTCGGGCCGCTTCGCACTTTTTGACGCATGATATAAATGATTTTGCGTCAAAAAGTGCGATAGCGATTCGAAAATTGTCGCTAACTGGTTACAGAACCTCCCCCCAGATCCGGTTCTTTTCCGATCTTCTGGACGATCGTCACATGGGCTGCGCGATAAATTCGTCCAAACCATTAAAGTCGCCGGGGACCAATGGCATCATACCTGCGCAGCTGGAAGGAGCTCTGAAGGTGTCATGCAATTGGTTGGATCCTATTTATGCGAACTGCGTGAGGACCGGGTACATCCAAAGGTTTGGAGGGTAGTCAGTGTTGCGTTCATCCCGAAGGCCGGAAAAGGCTATTATGTTTCCTCTAGGGATTTTAGGCCTATCAGTCTCTTCGTTTTTGCTAAAACCGCTTTTGCTAAAAACGCTGGAGAGACTGAGACTGGAGAGGCAATAGTCAAGTATATTCATAATCTGGGGGTTGAAACCAATATAATAAGGCTTTTCTACAGCTTACTTCGTGACATAACTGTCGGCGGAGTGGGGGGCGTATACACACTATGCAGAGTCAGTAGGAGCACTCCAAAAGGTGACGTTCTCTCTCCCCTGCTCTGGATTAACTGGAAAAAGTGAGCTGTCGGGTGATCGCCTATGTAGATGATGTGGAGCTTTTGGTTAGGGGCCGATTTCTATACACCCTTTATGATCTGGCTTAAGGTTACCTGAAACAGGTAACTAGGTGGGCGATCAACGACGGATGTCGTGGAAGCCTAAAATTGAGGAAAGGTTAGGAAAGGTGTCCGTTGCCTTGTACTGCTCCAGGGAAGCTATCGGTAAAAGGTGGGGTCTCTCGCCCAAATTAATTCATTAGCTCTAGAAAACCAGAGCCTATATTGTTTCAAGGAGCCGTCGTGTGGTGGAACTAACTAGAGAAGGCTACACTTGTAAAACAAGAATTGGCGGGGCATTAGGAACCACACCTACACTGGCATATGTTGAACACGCCGCCTACGGATATTATAGACGGAATTGTCGCAGCACGAACAGCTATTAGGCTAAAGGAAACCGGGTTATTTTGTGACATAAAAAAGGAAAAGAAGACGTTTATCTGCTGCAGCAAATGTTTTTATAGGCCACTTTAAATCATACTACTTCTCAAGACCTAGTGATGGGGGTTTTGACAGGCGGTTAGACTAGGAATTTGAACTGATCCTTTTTATCAGCTGTCAAGAGGAAGATGAAGTGGAATCAACTCCACACTTTCTTTTAGACTGTCCAACCTTCGCGAGGTTAAGATGAAAGCATTTTGACTCGCACTTCTGAACAAACACTGAGCTCTCAGTTATCGAAATTAGCCGCATTCGCGATTTCGTAATCGGCTCGCAGCGTTAACTTAACCTAACCAAAGCTGTACTTCTTTGAGCCATGAAATAGTTGGTCACATTAATCATGACCAATGTCATCTACTAGTAAAGCACAAAATGAACACTTCCGTAAGGTGCTATTTCCCAGTGGGTTAATACATGTACGTACATATGTATGTACATGCATACAAACATGTGCATAAATACATATAAACATAAATAAATTGCAATGAAAAATGTATTAACTAAATGATGTTCAAGGTTTTGAATACAAGAAATTATGCTGAAAACGTTTACATATGTAATTGAGAAATTGTTTGAATGAAATACATATATAAGAACATACATACATACATAATAAATAAACTAAATAAATCTTCATTACTTTATCATAGACAAATACCTAAAACAAAATTTTTGAATTTATTTCATATAAGAACCCAAGAAACATTTAGGTTTGAGCTCAACTGGATGTTTTGTTAAGAGCTAAGTTATTTCCCAAATCTACAACCTTGTTTCTCAACAAGAATCATAGCGTCCTCAACAAGAAGGGCATTTTTCTTTGTATGACAATAAGGGCCAGTTTTTTAAAGCACGGCTGTGGTTTAAACTTAGTTTAAACGCTCGAGCTGGCTCGTTTAAACTAAGATTAGTCGATCAGATGTCAGCCAGCTGTTCAATTTAAACGCAGTTTACGTGATCTAAGTTTAAACTGGCACTGAAAAACTAGCCCTAAGACTGTTTCTCAAGTTGGGAAAAAGTTAGTTCTCAATTTGAAATCCAATGTGATCCTCCAATTGATCTCAAAATTATCATTGGAAAGGAAAATTCATTAAATTTACACGCTATTTGCAACTTTTTATTCAGATTTTCTAGAAAATTTATTTAGTGGAAGGTGTTGCTCATTTTCTCCATACAAAAAATAATTAATGAATATACTTCGTATGGAAGAACTTGCGTGAAAAAAATTACAAAAAAATCAACGCGATTTTCTAGCAACTTCAAGCTTGCACTATGTTATACTAAATTTGAATGGACTACAAAACTGCATACTTGGAATTTTTCTAAAAAATGTGAATAAAAAGTTGCAAATTAGAGTCCAAATTTAATGAAGTTTCCTGAGTTTTGCACAAACTTTAGAGATTTTATTATTATGTTTTCTGGCGTAGAATGAACAATATTTTTATAAAAAAATATCGAAAATAAATTAGAATAAAAAGCTTTGCATATATTGCGAAAAATTCACTGTGCCAATAATTCTGTTCGGTATTGTATGTAGATAAATTTGAAAATTCTTTAATTTTTTTATTCCTTTTGTAATAGTTAAATAAATATAGTATTACACAGTAAAAGGACAAACTTTACTTTAAGGACCATTGATTTTAGGGGTGAAATTGGTACCGTTGGAAAGCTGGAGTCCCCCTTACTACGCAGAATTCCTTTTTGTGTTGTCAGAAAAGATAGGCGTAACTTCCTTCTGTGTAGGCATCCTTCGGTCGCGCTTAGGGATTATAGCCCTTACTACGCAGAATTCTCCTTTTTGTGTTGACCCGGAAGAAAAGCAATTCCCCTCTTCTTTTTTCAAGAGTATATAACATTTATTGTGCAAATGAATATTGAAGGTGGAGGTCATAACCTGAATATCAAATATACATATGTACATACACATACATAAGTTTGGCTAACCACGGCCACTTTAAAATTTTTTTCTAGCTAAATTGGCGATATTTAGTGCTTGTGCGAAACATTTGCTCTTAGAAGGCATAAAATCTCAACTCCCCATAAGTGTAAAACTCAGAATAGAACAAAAGAATTGAAAGCACACTTCATTTTCTTTACATTGACGTTCTTCTCTTTCGTTTACTTTATTTTTCATTTTGTACCATGATAAAAACATTAGAAGGTAAAATCATTCTCTCAATTCGTCGGCCATGATTTCTTTCCGACGTTTGCAAACATTTTAAAATCTTATAAAATGGAAAATAAAAAAAATTAAATTGTTCACAATTGCTGTTGTTTGAGATTAAAAATGAGAATGGGTGTGTGAGCTTGAGTTCGAATTTTAAAATTAATAGTAATAGCCCCCCGAAATTCGGGCGAATGCATTAAAGACATATT